CCTAGAGGAACGTCCGATAAACATTCCGCCAAATCGTTTTGCAAAAAATTTAAAAACATCGTTGCGTTCAAACGAGGTGGCAAAAAATAAGGCCCACAGAGGTTATTATTAATGACACCCATCCACACATTAAAACTAAACTCTGTTTGGTAGGTTTTTGGACGTATTGCATGGGGATTTTCATGCTCCCAACTATGTAAGTTATGGTAATTTACGACACCCCTTCTTGTAAACGTGGCTTCATCTGTCCACAAAATCTTCTTACAAAAATTTTGGTCACGTTCAACAGACTGTACAAACCACCTACAGAAAGTTACTCTTTTAGGACCATCTTCAGGTCTTAAATTTTGTACAGGTTGAAAACGATAGGGTTTCCTGTGGTCCTTCTTCAGAGTTCGTAAAATTGTACTTCTTGAGACTCGTAAATTTTGAGCTTGAAGTAGTCTAGCAGCTATGCGACTGCTTAATGTGCTGTCATTATCAAAAAGGTTTAAAATTGCTCTTTGGTTTCTGTTATTTTGATTATTTCGTACTTGCTGGGTATTTAAACCATATTGTCGAAAACGTTGATGTGTATTGATAAATACCTGAGGATCAGGACATCTTCTATTAGGAAACCTTCTAGCGTATTCTCTAGATGCCGCTTCCGCATTTCCATCACAAAAACCATAAATAAAATGAATGTCTGCGTATTCTTCTGTCGAAAATAATCGTGGCATGATCAATTTTTCGTAGTTTTTTAAACAATGATCAACAATAAAAAAATAATGATACTTTTACTTAATAACAATCAAGAAATATTTTCAATAATTGTCAACAATTAAGAGGATTTAACGTAACTAACAGCTCGTCTCAATACAAACATAAATTGTTTTTTGAAAATCAAAGCCAACTTTTAGAGTAATTTTAGCTAAGCATGGCGGTACATGGCACGACATTCCATTTTTTTACACAAAAACTATCAATTTTAGGAAAAAAACTAAAGAGACAAAAAAGTACCATTAAAGAATGAGCTTTATAACCAATATTTTTTTATGTTAATACTCCATGGCGTTAAAAAGTTCTTCTAAAAAGAACCAAGGGGGTGGTGAATTTCATCCCCTTAGAGGGCGCTAGGGAAGCTTAAGGTATGCTAGAAAACAAGATGTTAAGTAGTAAATACATACCAAATTTCAAATTCTTCGGTTTACTTATAGCCGAAATAAATAATAAAATGTAAATTTTTAGCTCAACTTTGATCGCTCATAGCTCGAAAACAAAAGAGTTGCGACCCTATGTTTATATAAAAAACTTGTGTTATTTTGGCAAGTACTACGTCCTAGTAAAGTTTCCCGATTAAAAACTGAACCACCCTGTATATATAAATTTAATGTTATATATAAATAATAAAAAATATACGGCGTATATAGTGTGTTAATTAATTATCGTACCCGACGTTATTATTGCAAGTATGCAACCAACATCACAGAAGTCGTATTGCAATACGCAAATCGTGATATTGGTTGCATACTTGCAATGAACGTCGGGTACGATAATTAATTAACACAATTATTACGATTGGTATTGTAATACACGAAATTTATATTCACACAGGAATATATTCAAATTACTTCATAAGGAAGAAAAAAGTTGGTAACGCTAATAAAAGTTAATTGGTGTGAATCAAATACAAAAAAATGGGAGCTCCTATAAAAAGTGGGTATATTGCGACAATATTACTAAGAATGGTTTAAAAAAAAACATTTTATTTTAGAATATTTAAAGGTTTTCATTAGAGTAGTACTTTTTGTTTTCGTTTTATGGTAGTAAAAGTAACCGAAGCCTGACTAAAAATTCTCTTTTGAGTGAGAATGCTAAATCGAGTGAATCTTTTATAAAAGGAATGGGAGAAGCCGATTCTTCGGGGTTTGGAGGTCTTTAAGAAACCGGAGGGCGATTGCGAAATGTCTTCGCTAGTCTCCGGTTCATTTACATCAATCAGGTGCAGCCGCCGGTTTCTCAACGAAGAAAAGAAAAATACTAACCGTGTTATTACAAAATGCGAATCGGAATTTAACCTTGCAAAAAACTTTCGAATAATTTTTCGTGTTATAAACATGAGTTTCTGTTTTGTTGCGACAAATCAATAAATATACGGAGACTTATTTAAATATTAATAAATGCGTGTCAATTTGGTTCGAATAAAGTTTTGTACTAAGTGTCGATTATTATCTGATTTTGACGAATACAAATGGAATTCTATGTTATTTCTGTACAAGCAGGAACGTTTCATTTTTTAAACGATCCCCACAGACCATTTAATACGACTAAATAAATTATGCGCCGTTCATTTCAACGAACCGGCTACCATCAAAACCAAATTACATCACACGGTAATTTTGAAGGATTTATTGTGTTCGTTAATGCGATTGTTTATAATAATTGAGATAAATCAATACCTGAACGAACTCTGTTTCAGTTTTGAAAGGGTCACATTGTGTATTTATTACAATACGGACTCTACAAAAGTTAATATGTTGCTATATTATAATATAGGCTCGTTATGTTGATAATAATATATTTTACCCCTCCGGGAAAAAGAAAATCCACTCTAAATTATTATATTTTTGTTTAATCCAAATAATTTAATTTCAAAAAGTTATTACAATATAGTTTAATGGGATTTTTGAAATTCATTTTAAAACATCGTAAGATCAATTTTACACATCGTTATATCAACCAGCAATATTGCGAACTACCCTGCTGCAATATCTAACAATGTAATATAATGTCAGATATAAAATGTGAAAACCACTAAAACTCGTGGTTTGTGAGAAAAGGTGATCAAATTACTTCAAAAATTTTTCTGTGAATAGATAAAAGTTTTAGTAGATAATCAAATTAAATTAAACAAACATGTGATACATTAGGTGTGATAATAACAATATATTTTGATGTTATCAGAACGTTGATTAATGTGAGGTAATCTGTAATTTAGATATAGCAACAACCCCTTAAGTCAACCCCTTTTGTCTATTTCCCGGATCATAACTATCTAATAGTCGATGTAGAATATTTGGCCACATACCCGCTTGAAATCAATTGGCCATTACAAGCGACGTCGTTTGGCGTTTAATTGTTATCTACTAAGTGTATTCCCGAGGGGTGGTGGTTGAGGGGTTCTCGACCCCAATACTATTTCAGAGTAATTTACCGTTTACAGTCCAGAACGTGAATCGCAATTGAAGGCATTTTGTTATCTGACCCGCTCGCTACAAAATGGAGACCTCATAAAATCGGGGGACTCCCCGAAAAAAACACGAATAAAATATACAAAAAAACCAACAGGCGATTTGGATAGATTCGACGGTTTAATTGCCCGTTTATGCCCAATAAAACAATAATAAAGTTTAATTATTATTAGAAATTTAAATGGTGGCTGGTGATAAAAATAGTCAACCTCCGGCGTGTTTTATCGTTTTTGGGGAAGGTTTCCGTTTTCTCTCTCCCCCCGTTCAGATGAATAACCTATAAATTTCGACCCCTGGGGCCAATAAAGTATTAAACTTTTCGCCCCCAAGTGTTCCATAGCGCGTAACCCTTCCTATTCTATTCTAATTCACTATTGATCTTCCATAGTTTTAAAACATATTCCTGATTCATATTAAATACAATGTTTTTCATTTCTTGCAAAAATTTTATTTCTGATTTTATCGAAATTTAAATTATTAAAATTAAATTAAATTAAATTTTAAATATTCTATTTTTGTATGAGATATATAAATAGATAAGTAGATAAAAAAAATTGGAGCAGAAGATGTTATTTTGAGCTTTGTCAAAAAGTATAGCTTATACAGGGTGTCCCGTTAAGCGTACGGAGCGGCTGTATCTCTAGAACGGTAAGGCCAAGAGGTTTGGGAAAAAATCCTTATAAGCAAAGTGACCAAGAGAAATAGCNCAAACTTTATGATCAAAACAAAGTTTTTGATGAAGCTTTTTGGGTTATCTTTAGTTTCATTGAAATTAAAAGGTTTGTTTTCAGTTTCAATAAAGTTTTTACGATTAATATTAAACTGTATCATCAAAACAAAGTTTTTAGTGAAGCTTTTTGGGTTGCGTTTAGTTTCATTGAAGTTTCAATGAAGTTAAAAGTTTTGTTTCCAGTTTCAATAAAGTTTTTATGATTAATATCAAATTTTTATGATCAAAACAAAGTTTTTGGTACAGCTTTTTGGGTTGCCTTTACATTCATTGAAGTTTCAACGAAATTGAATATTTTGTTTTCAGTTTTAACAAAGTTTTTATGATTTATATCAAACTTTATGATCAAAACAAAGTTTTCGGTACAGCTTTTTGGGTTGTCTTTAGTTTCATTGAAGTTTCAACGAAATTGAGTATTTTGTTTTCAGTTTCAACAAAGTTTTTGTGATTAATATCAAACTTTATGATCAAAACAAAGTTTTTGATGAAGCTTTTTGGGTTATCTTTAGTTTCATTGAAATTAAAAGGTTTGTTTTCAGTTTCAATAAAGTTTTTACGATTAATATTAAACTGTATCATCAAAACAAAGTTTTTAGTGAAGCTTTTTGGGTTGCGTTTAGTTTCATTGAAGTTTCAATGAAGTTAAAAGTTTTGTTTTCAGTTTCAATAAAGTTTTTATGATTAATATCAAATTTTTATGATCAAAACAAAGTTTTTGGTACAGCTTTTTGGGTTGTCTTTAGTTTCATTGAAATTAAATGTTTTGTTTTCAGTTCCAACATTAAAGTTTGTGATCAAAATAAACATTTTAGTGATGCTTTTTGGGTTGCCTTCATTTTTTGATTGAAATTGATGTTTATTTTAATAAAATGTGTCATAGGTATAAGAAGATGAAGAAAATCAACAAAATCGTTTTTCTCTTAATAAAAATTTTTCGTGGACGACTTAGGGTTTACGTTATAAATTTCGAGGCGACGAAATTTTCAGCCCTTAATTGTGTTCTGAGTGGAGTGTAACGTAAAAAGCAAAGGCCCCGGAGGAAGACAATTATTGACCCTCTTCCGTGCCATCGGGCGGCAAATTTTAAAACTTTACCTCGGCAAAGGAACGACAAGTTCCAAGCAAACCTCTGGAATTTCCTCGCGTTACTTAATCGTTTAATTAAAATGGTGCAAGGCAAAGTTTAGTTGCAAATTTCGTTGCAAGTGAGAAATAATATTTTTGGTAAAGTTTTATTGCACTTACCACAAAGCGAATGTAATCAAGAGATAGTACCCATCCAATTTCAATCAATTCAATTTACACGTTATCGAGCAATTGACTTACCTCAAAACGGCGACATCATGCGAACTTAACTAAATTAGAATTGCCTTTTGAATCGTTTTCATTTTAAAGTGCTTATTAAATCGATTCTTTTTTACACCAACTCATTTTCTATACCAGAATAATAACAGTAATCTAATAGCAGGCGATGGAATAACGAAGTCGATCGATAATCGACAACATCTCTTCAACAATTTATCACTTTACGTACACGACCCCATTTTATTTTGATTAGAAACTATCGCGTACAATGTTTCGAGTTTATAACGTACGTGACGAGGTAAAAATGAATTTTATTGCGAAAACAATGAAATGAGATTGACGGTTTGAACGAATATGATTGCATTTATTGGTGTTTGAGTGAAATACGGGTCTTGGGGTGGATGGTAATATCGATTGTAGAAATTACTTCTAACAACTTTAAAATCAATACGGGGTCCGAAGCAAGCGTCATGTGTTAATGAACCCGGAGGAATGTTGTGTGTACGTTTTTTTATTACGGAAGCCTTGTCAGACATCTATTATTGATATCGCGTGACAATAAAATGATTTATACGTTCACCGGTAGACGTCGGGAGCGTTTTGCATTTCCCGGAATGTAATTGAGTGGAGCGGTTGCAAATAAGCCGTGCATTTTTTCCATAGCATGCAAAGAGTTAGCGGGGTTGGGTCACCAATAGTTAGTAACGTACAGTTAAAATAGAGGAGAACGCCGGAGACCAACACGAAAACGATGACTAGCAGCACTAGGATCAGTAGGAGGATTGTGGGTTTGCACCATGGGGTCCAGCAGGACTCCGTGGACGTCGCACTCTGCGATCGAGGGTTAACACACCAGCCGCACGTTTCCGAATCGGGCGGAAGTTGGTCGTTGGGCGCCACGACGCTGGTTCCGCCGGCGGCGGTTACGACGACGCCTCTGTAGGCGTTAGATCGAGGAATGAAGCCATCCTCGTCGTCTTCATTACGAAGACCGGCGTCGTGGTAGACGCCGTAAGAGGCGACTACATTCGTGGCAGATTGAGGATTGTTGTACCTCATCGTCGCCTGGTCTTGAGGCAAATCAGTTTTCGGCAAACATTTGCAGCAGGAATCCGCCTCTTCTTTACTTTCCGTCTGAAGTGTGTGGTCTAAGCCGTACGTCGGTGGTTCCCGTACGTGCCAAGACGTGTTGTACGTTTGGGGAGCCTGGTGTGTTCGGTAACCGTTCACGTAACCGTCAGGCTTGCAAACCGACGTGGCCACCCTCGCACTAGACATTTCGCTCGCATTAAATCGGATTTAATTTCCACAGTTTAACCGGCTCTGCGAAAACTCGACGACTCCGCCACCGACGCCGACGCGTCGTCGCCTATCGCAAAAAAGTACGCCGCGACTGATCCGACGGCCGCCATTGTTATCTCCACAGTTTCCGGTACTTTACCTGAAAACAAAACAAAACGGCCGATTAGTTCGCTCGGCGGAGTTTGCGTGAAATGTATAAATCGCCGATGTGGCAAAAACGCCGTTTCTCTCCTCTATACCCAGTATAGAAATCGCTTACCGATCGATTTCGCTTCGGGCATACACTCTATATATGTATGTATGTATGTATGTATATCAAAGCGTCATTCAATACATCTCATAATTATTATTGCAATCATTTTTTGATAATAAATTGAAAAGTAAACCTTAAATTTACATATTTGAGGTAAATTTAAATTCATAATATGTAATACTCATACGTTACATACATATAAGCGAAGAGAAGATTTACAACAGTGTTTGCAGGTACACACACATAAAGTGGTAGAGCGCCTCGAAAATGTTAGTCATAAAGCTACCATTAGAGCTTAGTCAGTTTTAAGCACGTAGGGCCGTACTCGTGCAATAATTAACCGAAACCCTCAGGGGGTATCTATTTTGATTTCGCGAGACAGGTATTAAGTCTCCGGAGCTTTTATTAAATTTACCATAATTGTTAATCGATGTTAATGCGCCGTACGTGACCCGCGGCCCGACAAAACATCGAAAGAAAGTTTAATTAGATTACGCGGGAAAAAATCGATGGGTTCTTTGTCCAACCGTTTTGCTCAGGAGAGATGAGGACAACGCGAAGCTCGAGTTTCGAGGTATTTGCATGTTCGCAACCGGGCACGAGTCAAACTTGGGGAGTACACCCCGAAACACCTTGTAAAGGGCCCGCAACAACTCGCGCCATAAGGGAATTCTCGACCTGGACTTTTATCAATTTTTCAGTGTCATGCTGGTTTAATGCACCGTACCATTAAGTGGAGGAATGCATGAAATTTATTCGACAAAAGCGGCTCGCTAAAATACGGAGATAATGTTAAAATTAATTATAAGGACCTTGTCTGCATTTCCTGTAATCTCTACTTTTATTACCGGCGCCTACAACGCCACCACTCCCTCTATCTATTACAATTTAGATAAAGGTGATGAAATACCCTCAGAGCGTTCCCCGAATCTCCGCCCACTGTCGGTCCTACGACGAGGATCGTTGTCCAATTTGACGTTCCCTTGTTAGTACTATGTACAATTTGTCACTCGACAGTCTTAATGCTACACAATTTTAATTAAAAATTCTCCACCTGCACCGTTACCTTCGTTATCATACCACGCTTCGTTTAGTTTACAACTCATTCCACTCTTAAGTACTATTCCTTTTTATTCTTACGTCATTATAACTCATTCTATGTTTTCAACAATTAACTCAAGAATTCAAAACAATCACGACCTATTGTGACATATCTGTACTACCAATGCAGTTCCAATGATATTCTGGGCTTTCGGAAATGGAGGAGAGCAGCACTCTACATAAAAGAAGAAGAATGTTTCATCAGCTCTAGAAGGTGTTGTACTAGCACTACCTAGCTTTCTGCAAACTGTGTTTGGTCGTTTATTAATAGTATCTAGTCTTGCATTAGCAAGTAATAAACTTGACAAAACAAGAACACTCCCTCGGCCGACTTTGAAGATGTCGACCGCCCAAAGTATTGTTCATGATACTTGGAGCCAACCCAACCCAAGTATCATGAACAATACTTGGGGCGGCCGACGTCTTCGAAGTCGGCCGAGAGTGTTTCTTATATAACGAACAATACTTGGGAAGAAATATCTCGGCCGACTTCGAANTTTTGATCTCGTCACTTCGAACCAGTTTCTGAAGAAGGTTGCAACATGGCATCCGAAACGTCAAACCTTTTATTAAAAGACGTACGGCAAAACCCGAAAGTTTCTAGTGTTAGTTCTAATCTTAGTTTAATATTATTGAAATTTCCAGGAAAAAAATTATTAAAAAAGAAATTATCAAATTTATAAATCAAAAATAGGGCGAAATTTAAAAATGATATATCAAATATGATATATTTGATAAATTGAAGGTTACAGGAAATAAAACCAAAAAAAAAGAAGCAGGGAGTTGCTGACTTTTTGGTGAACACTGTATATTAAAATTAAAAATAATATTTTATTATATAGTAGTTGAGTTAAATATAAAAAGCTGAGAAAATAAAAGCGAGGCAACACTGAAAACGTTGCCAGTATGTCAACCTGTAATATAGCCGGCTCAAGAGAAAAATGGTTTGTCCGCTGTATAATACGCTTGTTCACGCTAGTTCCTGTTACAATCTGTCGCTAATTTTATATTTGTAATTAATGTCAGTGTGAGAAATAGGTTCCTTTTTCATTTAAAATTATTAGTTGAGATTTTTAACGGAAGAAAATTCTATATATTTTCTCACAAACATATTGATTCGTTGAAAATCAGTATTCGAGTCTTTCCTTTAAGTAACGATGTCTTTGAAATTCCGGGCCGACTTTTCAAGAGAAAAATCTTATACACAACGTGTCAATTGCAGCTTAATTCATGTGATATGTGAACTGAATATCCCCCGGAGATCCAAGAAAAATTCGTTCCACGTTTATACACGCATATCTTTCATTATTTCCGCTTTTGACTTCACCGGATGAGAACTGTAGCAATTCGTATAAAGGCGTTACGTTAAACGGCGACATAAAGAGGGGTAAATGAAATTTCTGCCAAGACAAACTTAACACAAATTTACTAAAAGTGGAATAACTTCCAATCTTCCTACGATATCTCGAACGTAGTGTGCCTATTTACCTTGTCCGTAAATTAAATTAGAACTCGGAAGCACTTTAAACGCTCTAATACTTTCCAACGCCCGACCATAACTTGCAGATACCCTGCAATTGTTCCAATCTATTGAACTAACTAAACGTTCAACTAACCTCTATTTACTTTATTTTATTTAACAAATCTACAAATGTAACTATCGAAATGATTTTTATGTAAACAGATGAAATTCTATTTTGCATTAAGTACACGAGGATTGAGATAATTATTTCTGTTATTATCCGTTGAGTGAGGAATTTGTTGTGTGTTTGGTGGCGTCAAGTTTGCCAACTGGGAAACGTGAGCCGCAAAGCGATTTCTAGTGACGGATTGGTGGATGCGAACGAGTCAATTATTAATCAATTAAGTAATTCCCTCTCGCGGCGACGTGGCACATTAGTATGCCGAAACGGGAACGGTTTAAAGCAGATAAGTGCTTGTCCATTTCGCCGTTAAAAGACGATAAAAAGTCGTAACGATTTTAATGCGTTCAAACTGTGGTAAATAATCCATATAAATGAATACGTAACGCAGTCGTGGTTGCGGGCGAACCCTTAAAAACGTTCAATACATGTTGTAACATGAGGGTACTGCATATAAAATATGAATAAGTACTCTTATTCCGATGTTCGCAAAACGTTTTCTTGTTTATGCACCGCAACAAATGGGTTTGGGACTCGCTTGTTATTTTTGCCTAGTTGTGCTTAAACAAATACAGTTAAAAAGTCGCTTGCATGCGTTACTCGTTACCACAAACTGAACAGGGTAATTTTGGGAAGTTTTAAATTTATTAACTACCAATTAAATTATATATACCGATACATTTGGTGAAGTTTTTTATTACAACATTCAACTTCTTGTTTGGAATTACGGATATAATGAAGTTTCATCAACTGAATTTGCTTCAATTAAAGTTTCTTGGCAAATTTAAATTTTAAATTAATTTTAAATTTTCGATTAAAAATTAATCGAAGTTTCAACGAAGTTTTTGAAGCAATTTTAAATTATAATATTTGTATTAATGATAATTAACAGAATACATGAAGTTTTTGATAAAACATAAAACAACATTTTTGTAAATTTTAATGAAGTTTAATGTCTAAATAAAAATTTTAATAAAGTTTCATGAATTGAGTTGAAGTTCTAGACACAATTTGAAAGATTGATAAAGTTTCCTTAAATTCGATTGGTTTAGATCGATTTCTTTGTATTAATATTAATTTTCTTTGGTTTTAATGAAGTTTTTGTGATTAATATCAAACTTTATGATCAAAACAAAGATTTTGGTAAAGCTTTTTGGGTTGCCTTTAGTTTCATTGAAGTTTCAACGAAATTGAATATTTTGTTTCCAGTTTCAACAAAGTATTTATGATTAATATCAAACTTTATGATCAAAACAAAGATTTTGGTGAAGCTTTTTGGGTTGTCTTTAGTTTCATTGAAGTTTTAATGAAATTGAATATTTTGTTTTCAGTTTCAATAAAGTTTTTATGATTTATATCAAACTTTATGATCAAAACAAAGATTTTGATGAAGCTTTTTGGGTTATCTTTAGTTTCCTTGAAATTAAAAGGTTTGTTTTCAGTTTCAATAAAGTTTTTACGATTAATATTAAACTGTATCATCAAAACAAAGTTTTTAGTGAAGCTTTTTGGGTTGCGTTTAGTTTCATTGAAGTTTCAATGAAGTTAAAAGTTTTGTTTTCAGTTTCAATAAAGTTTTTATGATTAATATCAAATTTTTATGATCAAAACAAAG